CAATATTCTTTTTTGGTTTTTTTTGTTTTTTTTTTTTCCTCCAATATTCTTAGGCTTCCCTTGTAGCTCAGTCAGTAAAGAACCTGCCTGCAATGCAGGAGACCTGGGTTTGATTCCTGGATCAGGAAGATCCCCTGGAGAAGGGAAATGGCAACCCACTCCAGTATTCTTGCCTGGAGAAGCCCACGGACAGAGGAGCCTGGCAGGCTACAGTCCATGTGGTCGCAAGAGTCGGATACAACTTAGCTGGTAAACCACCACTGGTATTCTTGCCTGGAGAAATCCATGGAGAGAGGAGCCTGAAGAGCTAGAGTCCATAGCATCACAAAAAGTCAGATATGAACAAGTGCCTGACTATGCACACACAGCTACTAAAATATACTTGGTTGTTCTGTAGATAAATAAAGCATTCTTCATTGACTTTATGTGCTACAACGTTTGGCTAAGATGGTTCGCAGCAGAACAAGTAGAACTCCAAAAAAGAGGCTGCCTATTCTGCAGCTCAGAACTGGCAAAGAAAAAAGGAAAAGGGTTTTATCATATTAAAAAAAGTATTTAGTTCAGACTATTCAATGACCTGTGTAAGAAACAATAAGCCAAGTGAAGGGTAGACTTCTGTCTTGATAAAGTAGGGTGACAGGATTCTTCAAAGAACACAAATCTCATCTCTGAGGTATTTTAAAGATTTTAAAGATAAAAGTGCCTAAAGCCAGATTTAACAAGATCAAATTAATAAGATTTCAGTTCAGTTCAGTCATGTCCAACTCTTTGCCACCCCATGAATCGCAGCACGCCAGGCCTCCCTGTCCATCACCAACTTCCGGAGTTTACTCATACTCATGCCCATCGAGTCGGTGATGCCATCCAGCCATCTCATTCTCTGTCATCCCCTTCTCCTCCTGCCCCCAATCCCTCCCAGCATCAGGGTCTTTTCCAATGAGTCAACTCTTCACATGAGGTGGTCAAAGTATTGGAGTTTCAGCTTCAGCATCAGTCCTTCCAATGAACACCCAGGACTGATCTCCTTTAGGATGGACTGGTTGGATCTCCTTGATTCCTTCAACTCCTGATTTGCACTTTGCCTTAATATTCTGGGCTTCCCTGGGGGCTCAGTGGTAAAGAATTCACCTGCCAATGCAGGAGACATGGGTTCTATCCCAGGGTAGGGAAGATCCCTTGGAGAAGGAAATGGCAACTTACCTCAGTATTCTTGCCTGGGAAATCCCATGGACAGAGGAGCCTAACAGGCTACACAGCCCATGGGGTTGCAAAAGAACTGGACACAATTCAGTGACTAAACAACAACAATTTAATATTGTAGGTATAAAACAGATTGTAAACAAAATCCAGGAAGGCAGCAAGAAAAAAAGTCACTTCTATAACCCTTTGATTATGCAATACATCCCAGAACACTTTCCAAAGATAATCAGAGGAACCTTAGCATCAGATGAAACCCAAGAGTCCACAAGACAATGATCAGAAGAAGCAAATTATAATTGAGAAACTTTTGGAGCTGTAACTACTGCATCAGAATTTAATTATTCAAGTCAGTAACTTCAGTAACACCCCTAACTCTCTGCCTTGGAAGAAGAAAGGTAATTTCAGAAATAAGTAGAATTCATTCTCATTCTTTATGCACTTAAATTACCTTAAAAAAATTTAGTCACCTCTTGTCAGTTCTTGCTGGAGATGACTGCTATTATAAAAAGTCATTTCCCCAAGCTGATTTTCCACATTTTCTCTGTCTCTTCTGTACACACATTCATTTCATAAACTTGGAAAATGCTTATTAAGACAGAGAGAGCAGAATATTGTGACATGAGTAGAAAATCTATCCCCCAACAAAAGAAAAGTGAATCCTACTTGAAAAGAAAAGGCTCATAGTTAATCATTATTAATAATCACTGTGTCATCCTCAATAAAATTACTTGACATTTCAATTTTAGTAACCTTTCTCCACAGGCCTTAAAAATTTTCCTACTTTATTAGCTAAACATACTTTAAGACATTCTTTAGTAAAACTAAGTAGTGATAAATTCACAAGTGTGATAAAGTGTGAATTCATCATCATAAAACTGTGAAAGAAAGCATATTTCTAACAATAAAAGTTAGTTGAGAAAGTTTAGTGAAAATCCTCAACAAAAAAGAGTATTACATTAGTGAATTAACAACACATTTCTGTGTGTAACTACCATGTAATATTTTCTTACAATTTCAACTGAAAACCTTCCTAGTCAATAATTTCTAGGACTATAGTTTGGCTATACTGTAATATGAAATCTGCATATTATGTTATTTACAAACTTAAAAAAGAGAGAAATGACTGGTATTTGTTCTTTAGACAAAAAAAAAAGTTTAACTCATGCTAAGATGATAATTTCTCAAACTATACATGGATTTTATTCTAAATTCCATTAGGTTCCCAAAGCAACTGGTCATTTGCAGCCATTATAATGTCAGCCTGGTGAGGTTTTTGTACAATACTCTCTCTACAAACGGGCTAGACTTTCCATTACCATAATTTTGCATACTGCATGCCAACATAGAAAATCACTGTTGTCCTTTTAAGCTGATAGCAACGTTTTCAGCTTAAGAAATCCAAAATGATTTTAAACAAATTTTTCCTCAATTACTGAATTCACTTCTCTAGAATCAAATGTAAAATTTCCCTTGGTGATCAAGACTAAAATATCTAAGTACAAGAAGTGTGGTTTTTCTATAATCTCCTCAAAAAGAAAAAATATAAGAGAATGAGTCTGCCAACTTTAACATGGAGTTTTAAAATTAACAAATTGATCAAAACTACATTACCATATGTCTGCTTAAATAATGAACGAAAAAAGACAATCCTGAAGTCCCATTCCCCCTGTGGTTGTGTAGCTAAGTGCAAGAACAGGAAACATTTATAAAAATAAGATTCTGCTCACAGTTCTACCCCCCCAAAATTTGAACCGCTGAAAACAAATCTTTTTTCTTACTGTTAATAAGATAATTTCATGTTGCACTGTGCTTTCTTTAATAAACAGTAATACAGGATAAATTAAAATGACAAAAACATAGAAAAGTCAAAATGATGCCAATTAGCACAATGGGAGCAGGTTTATCTAAGATTCAAAAACCAATTTAAAAGATGAGCTTTCAAGAATCCACACTCTTCTAAATGAATGCCTTAATCGTTCAGTTTATTTCTTATGGGACTTGAGATCTGCTTGTCAACACACATTCTTTTCAGGCTTTCCAAGATTTCCAGTAGCTCATTTTTACCAGAAAGTCTATTTAATGGCAGCCAATTTGCAAACATCAAATTTAAGAGTACAGCTTCAGGAAAACAAGAAAGAAATTAAAGTTCACTTCAAGTATTTATACTGGCATACACTGAACAGACTACTTAAGAAAAAACTGACACCAAGGGCTTCATTTTGCCATTACTCATGTGCTACATGCACTAGTTTTCATGCTACTTAATCAAGAGACAGACATAAAGAGTCTATCATTTAAAGTACACAAATTCATTACTTCTTTGTGTAAGTTTGACATTTTGGCTCATGGCACATATTTGTAAAGTAAGTACGCATTCCACTAAAAGGGCAAAGAACAAAGAAACTAGAATAAATTAGCTTTCTTTTAAGTTTCTATTTTCACAAAACAAGAAAACAACTTAAGTGGATGCTTGTAATGTAGGACGGCTAGGGTCACTTTTATCATCACTAGAGCCTTAAATTCCTTCAAAATAATAGGAAGAATCCTTATTATCTGATAAGCGGTTATTCAGAACTGAATGCTGTAACTGATTTCAACAACTACAGCACGAACAAAACCACCTTGGTGGTGGTTTAGCCGCTAAACTGTGTCCAACTCTTGCAACCCCATGGACTGTAGCCTGCCAGGCTCCTCTGTCCATGGAATTCTCTAGGCAAGAATATTGGAGTGGGTTGCCATTTCCTTCTCCAAGGGATCTTTCTTACCCAGGAATCAAACCTGGGCCTCCAGCATTGCAGGCAGATTCTTTAACGACAGAGCGATGAGGGAAGCCCATCTCAGCACAAACAAAGGCACCTTAAATAGCAGATAATGTCTTACTACCTAACATTTAATCACAACGACAAAAATAACACCTTCTGTTATGTACACAGAAAATTCAATAAAAACTCTTCAGTAAATACAGGCATTTTGTCCTAGATTCATGGAAAATAAAAGGTCCAATAAGAAATAAAAGAAATTATTCAATCTCATATGCTTACTATAGTTACAAATAAATTTTAATAAACTGTCTTCACTCAAAACTATTTTTCAAGGAAAGTTACCAGTTGTTTCAATTTTTCCTTTTTTGAGCATAGAATTTCCTTGTTCTTAAAGATTTATATTTAATAGTTTTGTAAGAAAATATAATAAACAACAGTTTAAATATTAAAGATTTATCCAAAAAATAACTCTGTCCTATTATTGATGGCAATGAAGGCTGGGGAGAGAAATCAATGTTTTACAGTTTTTTCAAAAACAATTTAAAATAAATATAAGAAAAATCTGATTAGAGAAAATAATTTTCAGCTTTTCTAACAAATATATTAGTTTGTTAGTCAAGTCGCTCAGTCAGATACTTTCTATTCAAATACCCCCACACACCCACTCATTTTATATACAAAGACGATGAGCTAAATTTGACCATGTACAGTGCGCCAAGCACTGTGCTTCATATGCACTGCATTTACCGCAATTTTGTAGTTAAGTAATTAAATATAGCAATTCCATCTGGTAAGTACAAGCGTTTAACCCTGTTTTACACATGGGGACATTGAGGCACAAAGAGATTGAACAAGTCATTCAAAGCTACACTGTTAGTCAGTGACAGAGCCAGAGTTCAAACCCAGACAGTCTGGCTCCACACCTTACATGCAGTGTGCATGAGGTATACATTGCATATGGCACAACGCTTGACAGCCAGCAGGGACTAAATAAAAGTGTAGCTATATTGTCATACTCTTTATCTCTTCTTTACTTACTCTGTGATAATTCTGGATTGCCTTTCAGATTCATCATCTTTGGAATTGAAGGGCCATACACATCCACATCTAGCAAACCAACAGCCTTTGACTGTAAGAAAACAGAATTTACCATAAAATTTCCCCACTCTTCATCAGAGATAAAGTGCACAGCAACAGTAAGTCTAACTACAGAGAAGCTAATTTGTAAAATATTTCAAAATCATAACCTAAACTTTTAAAGCAACAGTAAGGTAAAATAACATAAACTGCTCAGTGTAAATATTTTTTGTTGGTTTCCTAATGTCTTCCAGATAACTGACCAAAGAAACCCACTGCACACACTTTAAACATTGTGGTTCAGATCTCCCATACAGTCACAAACAGACTAAGATTTTTTTGATCTGAGAACTAACAAATTACATGCACACAATGTTAAAATAATGGTTTACAACAGCAAACATAACCCCAGGAAGATGGAGCATTAACTTTTGGAAAGACTATCTAACACAACAAAGAATACAAAATAAGGGGAGAAAATCATGGAAACAAGACCATAATTAAAGCAAGTGAGGAATTCTGATGCAAATCTGGCATGGAAATGCTAATGAGGATAGTGGCAGACATAATACAGAGGCAACCTCTTATGTGCAAGTCACAGTAGAACACCCAAAGCCTTCCAGAGAATTCATAAACAACCAAAACTGTTTTCTTTGATGATTTATGCAGCTGCCCAAGAGCAGAATATCTGACTGGTCTCTTCACTAGCTGACAGTTAATCAGCAGATTAACAAAGAAAGACAAACAAAATTCACTATCTCTAAATAGGTCTTTTTTCCTTCTCCCCCCACCACCTCCCTGCTCTTTCTCCTTTCACAGATTAAATCAATTTGTTACTGGTTTTTCTCATATACAAGCAAACAGAATGCTAATACTAACACAGTGCTTTTGAGTTCTGTTTCCCCAGGACATACAACTCACCCGGTTATCTCCCTGTATGCTGGCAAGATAAAATTCTTTACAACTCTCAAAACTTTTTAACACTAAACAATCTCTCATTTTCTGTTATCTACCTATTTCCAGACACAAAATTGCTTTTTAAACCTGTCTGGTTCCTATAAATAGACAAAATAAGGTACATTCAAATTTATGCCCCTAACTTTGACTCAAATGGCAGTTCTAAGAAAATCATTTAATGTCCCTCTGTGACTCACAGAAGCTAAAGGACTCAAGATTACTATCTATCTCTCAGTTTACTGTAAAATAAATGAAAAAGGAGGAAGAATACATTACCTTTAATAGAATGGTGATATATAAAAACTGGGTTTAATACTTTAAAAATTCATTTTGAGTGTTAGTTTCTAGCTTTCTCATCAAAAGTAGATATAATACCACCTTACACAGTTACTATGAGGAGTCAATGAGAACTGTAAATAAAATCCTTAGCAGAGTGCCAGGACCCAGAAGGAATTCAAGTGGTAGGAAGAAATAATCAGGAAAAGTCTAGGAGGTTCTTTGGGTGACTTAGCATGGCATGTGTTTAGAGATTCTGATTTCTCCACAGAGCTGGCTGTGGAAGTCTAGTTTATCCAGGTTCTTAACATAACATTTCTGATTAACCTTCTTCCGTCCTTCCCTCTCCTTCTTCCTTCCCTGTGTCCCTCTCTCCCTTTCACTTTCCTCTCTTCCTACTGGTCTTTGTACCTTTCTCTCCTCTGTTTCCTTTTTGATGTATGTAAGCACCGGTACTAAATTCAGGTCAGTCAGTAGCTTTAAAAAGGTAGAGCATTCAATGAGAAATTCTGACCCAATTTAACTCCTTTTCAAACCACAAACAAAAGAATTCAGTTGAACTGAAAATACGGGGAAATTCACTATGGATAAAAAGATTTTCAAACCTAACAAACGTGGATAGCTGTTAACTATTATCTATGGGTCTGCTAATATTATAACTATTACCTCTTTTCTATATCTTTTCCATGATACCTACAAAACTAAATGCTTTCGTGGATAACTGTTAACTATTATCTATGAGTCTGCTAATATTGTAACTATCATCTCTTTTCCATATCTTTTCTATGACACCTACAAAACTAAATGCTATCATAAAATAATAATAATGCCAATTAAAACAAAAAACATTCCAAGATTCTTTGTCCTTGCTCTCATTTATTTTAACATTGCTTTTAAAGTAACTTGAAAGGGTTAGGTCCCAGGTTTCAAATAAATCTTCTATAAATACCTGTCAAGTAAAATAACTTAGTTTTCTAAGTTTATGTTTTCATGAAACAAGAAAACAACTAAGTGGGTACTTGCAATATAAGATTGCCAGCTCAATTTTATCATCACTAGATCTTTAAGTTTCCTTCTGTTAGGTAGTTAGAATAGGGAAAAGAAGTCCAGAATGGCGGTGGCTAAAAGACCTGGAAGGGAAAAGCCCTTGAAAATAGAACAAAGGAAGGTCCGAGGACCTGAATGAGAACCTCAGGTAAAACAAACAACACTCCTGGCTGGCCCAATTTACATAAGACAGGCCCAGAGACAGAGAAACATATAAAGAGGAGCCAAAGCCCTCTTCTCTCTCTCTCTCCTGTGCGATGGGGCGCTCTTCTCTTCGCGCCTTTGGGTCGACGTGCTCTCACGCCTCGAGGATGGATTTTCCTGCTATTATCTAAACAAAATAGAGCTATAACACTGAGCCGTAACACTGACTTATTTAAGAGCTATAACACAGTCCGTTCGAGACCTGAGAGCTATAAACACCATCTGTCCTCCGAGAGCTGTGACCCGCCAAGGGGGCTTTAATGTCCGTCACTCCAAATTTTTGTTGTGACGAGACAAAGAACCGAGGAGCATACACTCGCCTGACACTTCAAAATGTTAGGGAGAATCTATTTATCATCTATCTGTCCTGTCTTCTAGAAGAAAACTATGCTTGTCTACAAGTGAGCCCTTGGCATCATGGGTTAAAACAAAACTGAAGACCTGCTCTAAAATTTGCTGTGGTAGGAATGGATTTTGCATATATACCTAGATATCTGCTAGCATACATTATCACATAAGAATAAAGAGGGTAGGGAGGGAGATCACAAGAAGCTAATTTCCTCTGCTTCCTAGAGGATGGAACTGAGAATAATGGAAAATCCTCTACAAGTCTCTACTGACTGACTAAATTTAGTACTAATGCTTACATATATCAAAAAGGAAACAGAGAAGCAAAGGTATTGAGACGGGAAGGAAGAGGGCAGGACATAACTGTTAAAAGAATGACACAACCATGAAAAACAAGAGGATAAGATCAAAACAGGTTAGAACCTACTAGGCTCAAGATGGAGGAAGATTCGACTTCCAGTAGACCTTGAGCCACACGATATGCTCACTGTAATATGTTTGCATATGCTAACTATACACCCACAGGTGCCATGACAGTTCAGAAGCCAATTAAAATAGGCCTAAAAGTGGGGGAAAGTTATGACCAACCTAGATAGCATATTAAAAGGCAGAAACATTACTTCACCAACAGAGGTCCGTCTAGTCAAGGCTATGGTTTTTCCAGTGGTCATGTATGGATGTGAGAGTTGGACTGTGAAGAAAGCTAAGCGCCGAAAAATTGATGCTTTTGAACTGTGGTGTTAGAGAAGACTCTTGAGAGTCCCTTGGACTTCAAGGAAATCCAACCAGTCCATCCTAAAGGAGATCAGTGCTAGGTGTTCATTGGAAGGACTGATGCTGAAGCTGAAACTCCAATACTTTGGCCACCTCATGCGAAGAGTTGACTCATTGGAAAAGACCCTGATGCTGGGAGGGATTGGGGGCAGGAGGAGAAGGGGACGACAGAGGATGAGATGGCTGGATGGCATCACCAACTCGATGGACATTGAGTTTGAGTAAACTCCAGGAGTTGGTGATAGACAGGGAGGCCTGGCGTGCTGCGATTCATCAGGTCACAAAGAGTTGGACACAACTGAGTGACTGAACTGAACTGAACTGAAAAGTGGGTGGTGCCCCATCTCCTGAAAATCCCCACTCCTTCTCTAAGATGGTTAGACTATTCCTGCTACTCCTTGTTTGTTGTTTAGTTGCTAAATCCTCTCCAACTCTTTGCAACCACAGGGACTACAGCCCACAAGGCTCCTCTGTCAGTGGGATTTTCCATGCAAGAATATTGGAGTGGATTGCCATTTCCTTCTCCAGGGGACGTTCCTGAGCCAGGAATCAAACCCCTGCCTCCTGCATTGGCAGGCGGATTCTCTATCTCTGAGCTATCATGGAACCCCATAAAAACTAAATTACATAGACCACTAACTACCAGCCACAGCCAAGCTCTGCTCTTACTTTTCAAAAGGACTCCATGCCCTGGGGTCAGCTCTTACCTTCTAAAAAGAGTGTGTGTGTGTGCGTGTGTGTGTGTGTGTGTATTAGTAAATCAGTCATGTCAGACTCTTTGAGATCCCATGGACAGTAGCCCACCAGGTTCCTCTGTCCATGGGCTTCTCCAGGGGAGTAGGTAGCCATTCCTTTCTCCAGGGGGTCTTCCCGACCTAGGGATCAAACCTGGATCTCCTGCATTGCAGGCAGATTCTTTACCATCTGAGCCACCAGGGAAGCCCCTCCAAAGAGTGCATCTCTCTAAATGAACCTGCTTTCATTTTACTATGGCTAGCTCTTAAACTCTTTTCTGCATGAGGTCAAGGACCCTCAACTGGCAGCCATCCCAGGTACTCAGTCAAGACCTGGGACATGACCATCCTCTCATACCCCATTTTTCCTGCAATATACAATGGTCAGTAGGAGGAGAGGAAAGAGAAAGAGGAACACAGGGAAGCAGGAAGGAAAGGATGGAGGAAAGTTAATCAATAATGTTGTACTAAGAAACTGTATAAACTAGGCTTCCACAGCCAGCTCTGTGGACAAATCAGAGTCTCTAAAAACATGCCATCCTAAATCACCCAAAGAAACACCCAGACTTTCCCTGATTATATCTCCCCACCACCTGAATCCCTTTTAAAGATTTTATTTACAGTTCTCACTGACGCCTCATGGCAACCGTGTAAAGTGGTATTATACCTACGTTTGATGAGGAAGCTAGAAACTAACACTCCAAATGATTTT